AAAGGTGAGGTGAGTACTGTGGAAGTAGTCGAATATGGCATACAGTGGGGTCATGGTAGTTTGAAGTCAGTAGTCAACTGCCGGTTGATAGACTCCTTTGCCGTGTGAGCATAAGTTGTCCAGGGTGCATCACTTGGAGGTAAGTCTATCGCACACCCCACTATGTAAAAATACAACTATAAATCTCTAGTGCTTAACACATTAATAGGGTAAGAACCCAACTCTTAAATTTAGTTACAGATAACAGGGAAATAAACTATTTACTACTTACCATATCAAAGTAACATGCTAAAACAGCCTTATTGGTCAAACTTCTCATATTACAGAGATAAATAACTCCCAAAGTCATATTCTTATTAAACTAAAGTTAGAATATAGTACCGACCACAGAAATACGGAGCTAGGATGTGAAATTATGCTGGCTTGACATGTATTGTAGCAAGCCCAGACACACGTACAAATATACATACTTTAAAGCGAGACTGGAGTCTGTGAATCAAGTCCTGAGCAGTTGAATTGAAAGGAGGGGGTTGTGATGTTGTGGCGACGTACCGGGCCCTCTTCTGGTCTGGCACGGACTTGAAGAGTAGGTGGCTGAGTTGTGAGGCCTGTTTCCCCACAGCACACCTTTCCACCTCCTCGTTCTCCTCCACCACTTTGTCCACTTCCTCCTCTTCTGCATCCTCCCCATCATCATCAACAACATCATCATCATCATGCAAAGTAGCCCTGTTGAAATCAACACCAACCATTCACACATTATCCTTCAGCAGCCACATCACACAGACAAATTGATAAATTTTTATGGTCATTCATTATGCTTATTAGCAAGTATGCTAATGCTCCTGGTATCTTGACAGTTAGTCGAATAAGCCCCATCACTGGTCCGGTGCTGTTTTATTTACAAGAAAATCAATATTATGGGGGAAAACTTGTATCCATATTCTCCATTTTTGTTCTATTACCTGATTAATTACGCACCTGTCCTCTCTCTCCACATATCTGAGTGGATATTTATTTATTTATTTCAAATGGCATGCGTTTTGANGATTAGGTTAAACAAACAGAGGTTAATGAAAGGTCACATTTTGTACGGTCGCAAATCTCAATCCTGGCGTGCAGGCTTGCGATGACGTGTCCCACAACCTTAAATGCAATCCCCCATTTCATGCCTCATTTTACTATCTCAGAAGCTTTTCCATAATTAACAGTTGTACCCCTAACCAATGCCCATTCACTTGCAATAATAATAATAAAAATAATAATAGCCACCTTTCGTGAATCTGATGCCCATCTCAGTTATTTAATTCACGAAAACACCATATAATCACACCGCAAATTTGAAGTTTATTGGGTAGAAGAAATCAATTATTAACATACTATTGTCGATATAAAATGTTGATATTTCTGGTACTTTTACGGAATTAGTTTTTAGGGAAATCGATAAATCTTTGCATAAAACATCTTCATAGTTTTAGGCGCATTGACCTGGCTGTCATCTTCGGTGCTAATTGGGGACATTGTCTAGTGGGGCTTGGCTTCTATAGTCCACAGTGGCATTTCTCCGGTGGGAAGATGGAGAGCGATGAATCCTATGTCAATTGCCTGATAAGGGAGTTGAAGGAGGAGCCCTCCTTTAACATGTCCTCCTATATCAGGGAGGACCTGTGTGCCTCCATTCCACATGCCTCAAGGGATGTCTGTGCCTACTTTGTGGAGACCGTGTCTACCAAAGTGGCTTTCAAACCTGCCACGAGATATGAAATAAAAGTGAGTGAGTTGGCCCACAATTCAAAGCAAANAGGATGTGAAATTATGCTGGCTTGACATGTATTGTAGCAAGCCCAGACACACGTACAAATATACATACTTTAAAGCGAGACTGGAGTCTGTGAATCAAGTCCTGAGCAGTTGAATTGAAAGGAGGGGGTTGTGATGTTGTGGCGACGTACCGGGCCCTCTTCTGGTCTGGCACGGACTTGAAGAGTAGGTGGCTGAGTTGTGAGGCCTGTTTCCCCACAGCACACCTTTCCACCTCCTCGTTCTCCTCCACCACTTTGTCCACTTCCTCCTCTTCTGCATCCTCCCCATCATCATCAACAACATCATCATCATCATGCAAAGTAGCCCTGTTGAAATCAACACCAACCATTCACACATTATCCTTCAGCAGCCACATCACACAGACAAATTGATAAATTTTTATGGTCATTCATTATGCTTATTAGCAAGTATGCTAATGCTCCTGGTATCTTGACAGTTAGTCGAATAAGCCCCATCACTGGTCCGGTGCTGTTTTATTTACAAGAAAATCAATATTATGGGGGAAAACTTGTATCCATATTCTCCATTTTTGTTCTATTACCTGATTAATTACGCACCTGTCCTCTCTCTCCACATATCTGAGTGGATATTTATTTATTTATTTCAAATGGCATGCGTTTTGACAGTTATCATTAGCCCGTTAGCTGACTTCGGGCTTCACAGGGGGAAGGAACATCAAAGTAACAGAAAGTCGAGGGATGGGGAACAGAAGAGTGGTTTGGAGTTGTAAAAGAGACAGACACAAAGGCAGAGAAAAGGTAGGATGATTACTGTGGAAGTGGTAGAATAAGGCATCCAGTGAGGTGATGGTAATTTGAAGTCAAAAGTCAACTGCCGGTTAATAGACTTTTTTGCCGTATGAGTATACGTTGCCCAGGGTGCACCACGTGGAGGTAAGTCTATCGCACACCCCCAATCTGAGTGGATATTGGTCTCTAAATATCTGAATGGACGTTTAGTGCCAAACGATCAAAAAGGTTTACTTATCCCGGGATTAATAGAGATATGGTGTGGAACGGAGTCATTATTTTTGCACTGAAACTCAATATGTTGCGCGCACATGATAATTCAAATCCGCTCGTGCTAATTTCCGACCACAAAAGAACAAAGAAAGTCAACTCCATCAATTTCTCGGTCATTCATACTTATCCACTAATCACATGGTCTATTTCAACTCTCTAGTTTCTCATCTGGGAAATACTGCTGTATTTCAACAACTTAGAGGAATAAGACTCTTAAATAGTTTTGACTCCAACGAGAATGCTTATAGCCGTCTCTCAAGTACGATTTTCCATTATAGTAAGCTTGGCTGTAATATAAACAATGGGATTTACTAAAATTTGATTTCATATCAAAGACTTCACTTCTGGCGAATCCCTCCTTAGGACACAGAAATGGGTGATACTCAACTTAATTCAAAGCTGTACTCTAATAGCCTAAATTCAATGCCAAGACATAAAACTATACAAACGGATCCTTCCTAAGAAAGGCCTTTGCACAGATATGACGCAATGTCACATATATCACTTGAAGACGCAATAAGAAGTCAAGTTCTCAACCACTTCACGCAAGAGATCGGAAGGCTTGTAATTGCTGTAACAAAACCTTCATATTCCTTGTTCAGGTAGGGTGCGGCGATCATTGTACCAAGATGGAAGCATCCTCTCATCGTTGTACAACTTATGTACCTCGGTCTACATTCCTGTCACCCTTTCCTACACTCTCAATTAAACTTGCTCTGATCCTTAAAACTTTTGACAGGGAAGCATACATATCACACATCCTAAAACTATCACCCACTTAACTCCCGTTCTCATGCTCTCATCACTGATCCAAAAATGTGGCGGTTTCTGCTATCGGTTAGCAGTAAAATAAAAAAAGGTAAATAAAACTTCTTACACGTCATGTGTAATTTATTTTCTACTCAAATTTTGATTGTAGCTGTTCCAGAATCAGTCTACATGGTTTGGTAGAATGATCACCAGAAAAATAGTTCTCTCTCCCAATTTACAGCACCTCATGGGGTCAGTCAAACAAAATATATTTCAATTTTAGAACAAATAAATAGTCACACTCCTTAATTCGGTACAAAAAGAAAATTTATTAGAGCTATTCCAACTGGAAGTGACAGTAGGGATAGAAGTCTTCAAAAAGAAGGTAGTAGCGCAAAAAATATTTTGGCGGTAATATTCGGAAGTACACGGGAATTTATCAAATTAAGCATAAATCCTTAAATGGAATAAGATCTACTTTTTGGCAATTTCAATTATTGACTATTAGTACAGATTAATTAACGCGCGCGCGCACGTTCGCGCTCGAGTAAATTGTCCTAATTGACGATCGATACTTCCATGGATTTTTTCGCTTCAAGCACAAAATCTACTGACAATTTTCACTTTCGCCAATTTTTTCCAAATGGCAACTGTGTATCAACTACGTATTGTTTCCTTCGGTTTACTCGACTTAGGCGAGTCAGAAAGAACTTGCCTATGAGGGTAGATGAACCTGTGGAAGCAGGAGAAGAGACTGCAAATAGCACACGCAATGAAGAGATATGGGAAGCAGAGATTGAAAGAAGAGAAGACACCGACAGCGAATGCTTCTCTAGCTTGAGGGAATTTCTAATGCTCGAAAGGCTCTGCGAGGAGGAATGTGAACACCCAAATGGCTATCATAAAGAAGGTAAAGACGTGGCTTCCGGAGACGGCGACCACATACAAGGGAAGAAGTCGATGTCGTTCGAAGAGTTCTGTGGAGAGGCTTTTGCAATATCTCCAACCTTTATCGAGGACATCATGGAGGAGGGCAAAATCTCACAGAGACTTGAACAAGCACATGAGGAGTTTGGAAAGTCCCTAAGACTTTTTCCTTGTTATAATGAGATGGTAGATAAGTTGGAGAAAGAGCGGAAAGGGATTGGGCAGGGTGACACACTTTCCAAGCAGAAACGTCTGCGACGGAAAGGCCCGTGCAAACCCAAGTGACTTTCAACAACTTATCTCATCTTTTGGTCTCTTCTCGGCTGCCCTCATCTCCGTCTCCTCCTTCCCAAACAGACCTTTTCAAATAGGTCAAAAATGTTCATAACGCGGTTAAATTTGTTCGAGAAAACAAATGGAAGAATAAATTTCAGAAGACCAAATGTTTTAGCTAAATCTGTTTGAGTTAATCAAAAAAACTTATTAATAAAATTGTTAAATTTGAACGGTAAATTTAGATATTGACTTAGAGTCTTTTTGAATTAGAAGGGGAATAAAGTTGCGATTTGTGTTATAACGCAAAAATGTGCTTTGTGTATTACATATTTTAGTAACATTGAATTCTCTCTTTAGCAAAAATATAGAAGCAACACCAGAAATTTTGACTTGGGATCCTAAATATGCCAAAATAAATCGTACGAATTGTACATTCATAAATGAACTTTTCGATTAAATCAAATTGGCTTTGATTTGGCTTTTTCTTCTAAATGCAAATCACATTGATTACAGTAATTTCGGTTTAAAAATTGGACAAATAAGGCCTAGAAATCTCCTTAAGAAATGATTTGTCTTTCTAAATGCACAGCAGGGTTCAATGAACACGACCTTGCAAGAAATGAGCTGAACTAATGTGCAATGAACATATATGGTGGAGATTGTGAACTGAAAGTGATTTCAAAGAATTTCCTGATCAGGCTTAATGTCGTCGAAAGAGGCTGATTCTGTGCTTATTCCTAAATTTAAGGCTTCAAAATGCAAAATGATGCAAATGCAATTAGAGCTCTCAAAATTCAGTATTGATGAGTACACTCTATGACGCGTGAAAATATTTTGCCACAAATTCATACAAACTACTTCACTTTGATGACAAACTTCGTATTTTTAAAATTATACGAATATTTGTGCTGTAGAAAACTCTTAATTATCCCCCTCCAAACAAATATTTGTGACCAGGGGCCTTCTTTAAAAGCTTGAATCAATTTTCCAATTTTCAACTAAGAAAAAAGCGTGCTACTTTTGAAAGGCTTGCAGCTAAAAAGAAATTACATTCATTGGGGAAATGAAAATTGGGTAAATAATTGTAGAATCATTTTGAGTATATTAAAATCTTCAGATTTAGGTAATTAGTTTGATTTATTAAATAATAATCTTATATAGAATCAAGTTTGTAATTGAAAGCTTTCAGTTGTTTCATTAAAAAGTGAAAAGCTAATTTGAGTCGTGTGGTTAGTTGGTTGTGCACGTGTCACCGATTCCATCTGTTACATCAGATTGGTTTTGGGAAAAAGGCTGGACTCATCCTTTGTAATCTCCAAAAATTTACTAAGCTACACTAACAAAGTACAGTAAACAGAATGTTTGCGTTGGAATGCGATTATTTGAGTTGTGAATTCTGTGGCATGTCTCCTCTAACTAGGAAATTAGCACAGAGCTTAGTTATTAAAAATATTCTTTTGGATATGCTGACTCTGTAATGACCATACGTCACATTTTTTGTTTATCTATATAATCAAATGTCAGGCGTTTTGACGGTTATCATTAGCCCATAAGTTGACTTCAGGCTTCACAGAG